GTACGTCCTGACTCACCGCTCAACTGAGTCTACACAAAAGACTAGACGGGCGTTGCAAATATAATCTGAGTATTATAGCCCAGACGTCGAACCACAGGGAATTAACCTATCAATTACTACTGTCGGATTCACTAAATTCACACAATCTGTTTTCCAAACTTTCTGATTCACAATGGTTAGATTTTCTAACAACTAAAGAACCTAAAAGTAATTAATACTGAAAATTAACTAAACTTGATGTGTAAACAGTAGAAATAAGGTCTAAGGCAATGGTTTCCCCCGTTGGTAATTTCCTTGGTTGTATATGTCTTATAACTACGATTTAGTTGTCTCTAACAATCATGAACGCTCAAGCTATCATAATTCTTTCTCAAGTAATTATGATAATCTACTAGACGCACACTCTCAAGCTACGCAAGCTAATTTCACAATACAGTTCACTTAGATTGCACCCGGGGTTTGGTTATCTCTAATCCAACCCCTAAACCCTCGGTTATGACTCTCGTCTATACTCCGGGAGTGATGTTGTTCATACAATCACCTAAATATGCACTCTATCTCAAGTAGATATATAATAAATAGGAACAGATAATTGAGGGCCCTTTCAACTAATCCACAATCAAACCATAGATGAACAACTAGAGATTAACAACCAAATCCAATTATATTAATAAAACAACCAAGTCATCGCCAACGGGTTCCACCAAAACCTTAGATTAAGGTTTTTTAGCTACTCATAACAATGGGGAAATAAGCTACTAAAAGATTCATAATCGTAAATTGCAAGAAAAATAAAGAAGAATAAGAGTAATGATGTTTTGGGTGATCTCTCACACTTGTTTATCCTTGCCAAAGTACTCTCTAAAACATTACATGCCTCCCTTGGGCGAGTTCTATTGTTTAAAATAGGATTTTGGGCTAAGAATTCTGTGTTTTGCACTTTAGTCCCTCAATTTTACGCCTCCTGCCGCGGTCCTACCGCGGTTACGCCAGGACCGCGGCCAAATCACCTCTCAGAATCCGCAACACCTTCCTGCCGCGGTCCGACCGCGGTTACGCCGGGACCGCGGCAGTCCATCTCCAGTTCTGGTTTTGTGCATTTCACATGGTGCACTTGGCAGATATTGTGCGATTGGCCTCTTTTCCTCCATAATTGATCCCAAAAGTACTCCATAGCCTTCTTTTATTGTATGTAACCTGCAAAGCATGAAAAGCACTAATCAGAGCATTTTGTTATCACTTTTACCATAAAAACTATACAAGAAAGTGATTTCTTTAGGGCTTAATTATAGTTCAATTCACCTATTATCAACACCCCACACTTAAATCTTTGCTCGTCCTCGAGGAAGTTGAACCACACTTCTAGGCCTAATCGTTCGATGCATTACCCAGTTTTTTGTCACACCCGCCATTATGAAAGAACAACCTAAGCAGTGCAACAGCCACACCTCAGATGAGGACTCTAACGCCATGCCACACTCGTGCTTACTCTAGTTACTCTAACAGAGGTGAAAACTTGCTTTTTCTTCCCGAGTCACATGCCCTCACATCACATTTTTGAGAGAAGTTTCACACATATAAAATCAAGCACAAGGAACAATAGATAGAAAGAATCCACTCACTCTCAACAAGAACATTCACATGCCATACAGATACACCATAAGCTTGCCCTTAGTGTAATACTCTACTAATCGAGTTGTTTTAGTCTAAGATCAAGAGGTCTTTATTTGGTTGTAATGTAGGCTAAGGGACGGGTAGGATATATTTGGATATAGTGACTAACCTCCCTAAGCACTTTTAATACATTCTTCCTTTATTCCGATTTCCATGTTCAGCCCAGTCATTCTTCCACACTTGTTTCATAAGCTACCCCCACTTCCCTAGGTGCAACTGGCTTTTCTTTCCATTCACTATTTTAGGACCACCTATTTGCAAGGTCCTTCTTCTATATTTCAATTTTTTTTTCAACTACCATTGCACCATTCAAGTATTTTCTTGATTTCCTTTTCCTACTCCCTTATCTCCCCACACTTTGACTTTTACATGATCTTTAACAATTCAAGTGCTTCTAGGAGGCAAAGGGTCAGACAGTCAAGCTATTCAACACATGGATGTAGGTTATTGCAAGGTTATCAAAGAAACAGGCTTTAGGCTTAAAGGGGTTAACTATGGTAATACGTACAGGTGGATTTATAATTAGACCGGCTACGCAAAGAAATGCCTCAATCATCTCTAAGACCAAACAACTTCTATTTTTGCAAATACATCGGGCAAGCTCTAGGTATCGCATGCAAGCACAGAATACAGGTATTACCTCACACACACTTGGCATGTAACTCATTCCGAATTAGTTTTTCAACACACTCACATGAGCGTTCAAGCAAGACAAGGTGTGCACAATTAAGGCATAATTTACGAGTCTACAAACGAGCCTAGACGTCGCACCCTCAAGTTCGTTTAGTTATTAGCAGGTGTGTACATTAAAGGTTGCATTCCTGCCCTTACCCATCTTAGTCCAAGAGAGTCCAGGGTCCTAAAAATATCAAAGAAAAATCTACCTAACCCGGTTCAAGAAAAACCATTGGAAAAGAACCGTGGTCAAAAGAAAAACCAAGGGGGGGGGGGGGTAGTTACTACACTACCTAAAACAAAACAAAAAATCTTTTTGGTATTTTCTTTAGACTTACTTCCCTCAAGAAAATTGTCTAAAGGATCCGTCATCAGGAAGAGTCTACATAATTCA